CCTATGATTATAGATATTCACGCGAAAATCATTACCGATACATTTCGAGTTACTTTGATTTCATGCTAATGATCGACCGTGAAAAATAGTGGCAACCGCACACGAGTTAAACGTTCCTCTTTCGCCGCGCGGCGATCATTACACCGTGCGCTCATCCCGCGATGATAAATCACGCGAACGGCCAATAAACGCCAGGCGGCGTGTAGGTCAGAAAAACGGAACGAGCGCAGCCCGCAAAATTCCCAAGCGCGCAGAATAAATCCATCGCGCAATTGGTTAATTAACGGGGACATCTTCACGCGGTTGCGCCAAACGATTGGGTTGGACGAGAATTATCCGCGATGATTGAACCGTCAGCTTCCAGATGGTAGTCCCACGATGCGTCATTTTCAATTTAACTCGTGTGAAGTTGCTTCGTGAGAAGAAACCTAACGTCTTTAATGTCTTACGCATATTACTTATATATTTGATTGCACAGCGTGTTAAAATGAAAATATTACATTTTGAAAATTAATCAAATTTAGACGTAACTTTCAAGCTACACTTATTCAATGATATATGAGGAGTAATGTTATGGAAATTTAATGCGGAAAATTTTTGACGTACTTATTTCTATTTAATTCAGTGTACTATAATCTACTCATAAATTACATTATAACATCGCCAAATGTATCCTACGCTGTGCTTCGAATTAACAACTTTATATTCATTAATTAAATAATTAATTTTCAGTGCTTCTTGCAGTTGCTAAAGTTTGTTTAATAACGAAAATTGGTGGTTCCGCTTGTAAACTCAGTAATTTGTAGTCACACACTTTTTACATTTAATACGTAATTAATACTTTTCACGACGCGCATACTAATCAGTAAAATTTTCACGAAGCTGTGTGATATTATACATACTTCATTCCAAGATAAAGTTTCCACTGTCATCGTAACGTATTATACTTTAATAACATGTATAAGGCTATTTTAGTATACGATACAATAATATTGCTGAAATGCAGTAATAGTGGTAATAAAATTGAAGAGAACTGTATGCATAAATGGAATACATATATGTGTATTTTATAGCAGTAATACAGGTTTATCCTTGTTTTCTTTTAATTTCATAACCACTCAAATGTATGTTTCTCTATAGCACTAAATGATCTAAAACCAGTTTAGCTGTGCCTCACTTTATGTGCAAACTCAACCTGTATGTTACAAATTTGTTAAGTTATCCAGACATCAATTAAATATATTAATATTATATCAGTTAGCTAATATTAGATCATACATATTCTTTCTAATTCGGATAAAAATGAGTGAAAATAATTAACGGTTTAATTAAGGATTAAATACATTAATAGTTATAAAAACGATAAAAGAATTTCAAAAAATTCTTGGTTTCAGAACTAAATTCAAAATATTAATGTGAGATCAAGTTACTTTACAACTTTACAAATTAATTTTCTTATAACCAGTATTAAGGCTATTATTACTAATACCGTACACCAATATTAAGATTTCTGCTTTGAACATATAAAGATCAGAAATTAGATATGGCCGATAGAATTTGAAGTATTTTCCAATATAAATTTGCAGAAATCATACGTTGCACTCCCTGAAATACTCAGGTCGGAAACTTCAATTTTTTGTTTATCCGTTTGAAATAGAAAAATCTCTTACACAGCTTTCGGTAAATTTACAAGAGCCGATTGGATTTATATACCGGGGCTAAAATATTCGTTCCACCAATTACACCCGGATTCTGATGTCACAAGGTATCGATAAATGGCAGAAAATTGAATCTGAGCCGCTCTCCCGATATGTGGAATGGAAAACAGCGAATCAGTGGCAAAGATCCGAATGTAATTCAGCGATTGGGGAGAATTACGTTTGGATATGTCCCAACTTCGATTCCTCTATCTACTTTCCTTCCTCTTTTCACTGCATCAGCCGAGTGACTCAGCATTGGTTGTCGCCTCCTCGGTCGACGTTCGTCTTGAAGAAGACTAATGACTCGGTTAGGTGAGAGATTAGGGTACAGATGAACAAATACCGATGTCACCGGGGCACGCGGCTAAGTCGAATAGTTATGCAAATACCGCCGTGCATGTCGATCAAACAATTTGAGGTATTCCAAACCCCTATTTGTATTCTGTAATAACGTCAATGCTGTTTAACAGTCAATTTGCTGTTTTTACAATATGAGAAACATAATGTTTCTAATTTATAATTATACTGACATTAGAAGAACCGATTACAAAAAACGTTAGACACGATGTTGCGATAGTTTAATTAACTGTTCAATGAGACAAGTGTAAAATATGTTCATTCATTATTTTTCGTTATTGTCTTCTTTCACGTTTGACAAAGTCCAAACAAAAATTTTTTGTATTTTTATTTCCGAGCACATTGCTTCTTATACAATCAATTTGTCATACTATTGCTGCAAAAGAAAATTAAAATTAATCAAATCCATTTATTACGATAACGATAACGTAAAGGGTTAAAAAACTTGGAACCACGGAAATTATAAAATTGTAAAATGTTGAGAAAGAATGAAATACCTGTATTTAAATCTAATTAGAATATCCGTTGATAATATCATGCTGTAGTGCAGATGGCCATGTAAACAAGTAGAAACGGTGTTCAAGGTGCAGACACATCGATCAGATAGTATTCAATAGTTTCTTAAAGTCGTTATTCTTTAAAATAACATGGTTCTATATTATTAAAATAAATAGTTTATTTTTATTCTTTAAATCGTGTAAAAAAACCATATATTTCTAAATATAGACTACCCAATCCTCATTTACAAAATTACAATGTTCATTGTCTACAGACTTACTTTGCTTAAAATAATTGACACAAGAAATTCAAAACAATTAATAGAACATTGAATAAGAAAATATCTCTATAATTCCTATACCGAACAAAATGTTCTAAAAAGCAGAAATCAGAAATCATAGCGCTCCATCAGCCACTAAGCATCTTCTCTACTCTCGTTCTACCAAGAAACATCAATGTTACCAATACATGTCTGAGAATCCTCTTTGTTTCACACGAATGGCCGCTGCCAGTACTTGCACCGACGACGGATCTGTTCTTTCCGCAAGAATAATGGACATTAATGGGACTCGCGACACGTCTAAACAGTCCTCCCCAAGATTGTTTGCTTCAACCTTTTCTTTTCCGGCTCGGCAATCCGAGGGTCAAATAAAATCATTTACGAGGACAATAAGGGGGTCGTAGCCGGGCCACTTCGCCCCGTTGTGAAAGCACTCGGCTTAAGTGCTGATTATAATCCCCCTCGCCACCGAAAGAAAAAAGGAGGAAGTGCCAAATCATCCGGAGTCATTGTTCGGTTCACCTGCGTCGCATGTTTCATCGACGGAAACCGTGTTCTCCGCGAAGTTCGCCGGTGTTTGCCATTGAAAGTAGTTACCCGCGGAATCCGAGTCACGTTTGCGCGCGCACGAACGCCGATACACGCGTGCCGAGTTTAGGGTTGAAAACTATTTATAACGGGACGCCGAGCACGCTAGTCGCTCCAGCGGTTCTTAATTGACTTTCCTCTCTCGAGCCACGCCGGCTGCCTTTGAACTTGCCCCGCTCGGAACGTTACGCAGAAATATTTGCCGCGATATTAAATTATTAATCATCGTCGCCCGTTACATTTGTTACTACGGTTCTTGAACCTGGATGCTTTGAAGACAGGCCGAGCACTTTGTGTCGACCAGGATTCACGCTTTCGGTTATTCTTATGAACTTCCTTTTATTTACGCGTTGCACGCTGTTAATTTCATGTGTAATAAATATTTTAATTTTCGTAGGTGTTCTGTTTCACAGACATTTTTAATGTTAAATTTATAAGCATTTATTGTATTACTGTCGGACAAGTAGGTGTATTATAAACAGGTATAAACAATTAAGAGATAAGGTAAGAAAGAAAGAAAGAAATTAAAGTAGGTATTTTTATTATACATATTACTTTAATCAGAGTTAATATAAATTACTAAAATATAATATTCATGATTTCTTTGCCTATATGAAATTTGAACTTCATTAAATGAATGGATACGCTAAGTTTGACATTAAGCAAACTTCATGTAATTTCTATAAATTTCGAGGCTTCCCTAAAACTGTAATTGTCAGGTTTGACAGTGTTTTCGGTCGCAACAAAAACATCGGAAGCGAGGAAGCACTGTGAAGGTGTTAATTGTAATTCAATTTATCCTCGACAGAGCAGCAACGGGCAAATCGCGAAGGGGGACGCCTGCTGGGTTCGTTGGTGAGACAAGTTGGTGAAAACCATACAAGGGTCCTCTTTTTCAAGACGCACGTTGTCGTCTAACTCTTTTCTAGGAGTACTCGAGCGGAGAGTCGAGTGGCCTTGCGTTAGAACAACGACTTTTATATAAGTCAAAGTCGTAACGATATACTCGCGCGCATGGTGAACAGACAGCTGCACTTTTATTGGGGTTAGGTGCAAAGGAAACATCAACCGCATTCCACAATGAATTTCATATAATGCTACTTATGTAGGCTGCTTACTTATAGCTACCTAATAAAACGAAGGATCGGGCCAACATGATGGTCCTTGCTTTATGGGAATTTTGTTCCTTTGTAGTTGTGCCCTACAAAGGAGTAAGGAGCATGAGGTTCATTTTATATGCAGAATAAGACCTAAATATCCTTCAAACAATTTTATTAATTCAATACCTTAGTCAAAAGATTCTACAACTTACAGACTGCAAATATAGGTTTTGAAAAATATTAAGAAACAATTTATATTATCCACACAAGCGAAAAAATTAAATGAACCAATTTACGCGATAGTTTTTATGTACGATCTGGATTTAGTAATACCAAATAAAATGTACTTTCGTTTTCGGAAATGTAATTATTATAATTTTTTTTGTTTGATTATGTGAAATAAATATGAGTTCCTAAAGCTTATACCAGCTTTTCTTCCCAATATTTTGTTTTCTCTTCTTCTGACAGACACTGTTTACGAATTTAACGAATCCACGTGAAATGGATTTTAGCGTAAATCGAGGGTCAGGTGTACTTATTTACGTATTCACAAAACACAGCTATTCTACCAGTATAATGTATTGATTTCGAATATACTCTACGCTCTTCTTTTATTAAAACAACTATATACACAAATATTAAGATGTACACATTTCATGTCAACAACCTACAGAATTTTACAAACTTACAAAAAATTATTCTTTAAATATATTACATTAATGTATAAAAACTTTTAATTTTAATCTTTTATTTATATAGTATTAGTAATGAGAATAAATTTTATTTAAAAAATGCTAACGATAATCTGCAAGTGGAATAACTGGTTATTAGACTAGCATTCTGGAAGCCAATTAGTCAAATACCCAAGTTACAACCACTTGGACAACCACTTGTTTGTGATGAAATAGATCCTTTATTAGTTTCTGAGGATTGTGGTACTGTATAATGTGAATAAAATAAAACTTTTTCTTAGTTTCTATCTTTTCTTGACGGTGTTCCATTTAAACCTACTTTTTTTACTGATTTTAATTGGGATACAAATGGAGACAGCTGAAATACAATAAAAAAAATCTAATTAAAATAAATTAAAAATAAAAGGATCTACTTAAGTACTTTTATATTATTATTTCACTCACAGGTCTCATTTTTAATTGATCTGGAGCAAATTTTAACAAAATCTGTTTCGCTTTTTCATATGTCTCAGTTTTTGTTACTTCAGCCAGAATTTTCTCTTTTTCCCACTGCATTACACACAATTTTTCATGATTTTTATAGATTTTACGTTTATAATACCATGTAACCATCTTTTTTGTAAGCAATATTCTACAATAGTTAAATAATTAATTATTTTTTAGGTAATTTGACGGCTCCTGAAATATATGTAGAAATAAAATACTTACACAATAGGGAAAATTAATAATGGAGTAATATAGAGTATTTGATCATATAACGATGTAGGAAAAAAGCAAAAATAAAAAATGAATACTGATATTATATAAAGTATCACGCTATATAAAATTAGGTTGGCAACAATTCTTTTATGTCTTCGTTCTGTTGTATACCTACATTTCTCAATCTTTTCAATTTTCTGTTACAAAAATATTTAATTAGAAGTTTCAAAGATTTTATATCAAAAATATTTCAAATATCATAAACTCCTTACCGAATCAAGGTTTTCTAAAATTTCAGTGGTGGTTTTCTTTTCCTGAAATGTATAAAAGTTTGTTTTGTTATATATCTGTCATTATAAAAAGAAGAAAATATGTCCATATAACTACATGTATTTATCTACCATATAACTATCAACATCCTTTAAATTCAAATGAATTCATCATTGTGAATTCAGACATATTCATAGCATAATAATTAATGTATAAGCTTATAACTACATGTATAGCATGTTAATTCATAGCTTGCAATAGACTTTACCATTAATTTATAAATCAATTAATCTTTATGCTTTCAAAAAAGTGTACACTAGAGAGTTACAATGTTTATGTAATTTCTTGGAGCAGGTAATAATTTTAAATTATTTATTATAAGATATTTTACACAATATTTTGAGGTATTTTGAAATCAACAGTAAAAAGTTGAAACAGAATGACACTAGTCATTGAAGAGTAATATTGTATCATATGCTAGTACTACAGAATACATTACTATTGAATTTTGATAAATCATCCCAAGTATTAGAAATAGCAAACCTTTCTAAAGTGGTTGGATGATAAAATATAATGTTATAAGAACTTACGCGCACGATGCACTTTCTAAAGAAATCCGCATATGTTACATCTCATTAAGTTTCGTTTAAACCCTTCTTATCTTCGCGCCTAACTTCGAAAACCTATCAACCGTAAGGCCGTATCTTTACGTTGACTTAATTCCAACTTTCAGAAAATATTAAATATCAATCATTTACAGTTCTTTGTGCACCACGGTAAACTATGGCTACATAAAGAAGCATAGATATGGCAGAACATTAACCTTAAAAGAGTAACCGACCACCAATATTTCTTTTCCAAATATTGACATAGAGACTTACACGAAATCTTGATAATAATATTGACATCATGACAACACTTTAACGAAATTTGCGGCAAAGAGAAGAATTATTTCATCAGTGCAGATAAAAACGTCCAGTGTGTAAAGTATCAAAGCCAAAAACAAGAAATTCGTTACGAAGTTTGAAATAACTTAGCCAGGCGGTATCTGGCGGTATCTATGCGCAGTCGTGCGACGTGCGAGACACCTATCGAATGACAGTACTACGAGATCTGCTATTATACCGCAGGGACACTAGTATTTTCGATTGGCACGTGGATCATTCATGGAACGCAAATTACAGACTTTAGATACGTCCAGACGTGTTGCAGCTTATGGGAATTTTTGTCTAGGGCTTCAGAGGCTCTCAGGATTCCTGCACTATGCTCTTCTGTTATTAAAACAACTATGTACACAAATATTAAGGTATATGCATTCCATATTAACAACCCTCACAATTTTACAAATTTGAAAAATAATTTTAAACAGTACTACTTTAAACAAATGAATCTTTTTTATAAAGCACTGTACGAATATAAAGTTTTACTAATTACTTTACGTATTTTTAGATTTTTCAATATGTAAAACGGAATGCTCGCATCTAAAATATTATTTTATTGAATATTCCTACATCTTCAAGTGTCCAAATGCTTGTTTTAATTATCATCAAGCAACGAACATTTCACCAACGGAATGACCCCAGAAACATGAAAGATTAATTTACACACTAACGCTCCCATTTTATCCGCTCTCTTTATCCTTCATGCTTCATCACGGACGCATAAAAAGCTGACAGAAAGCCAGAAACGGAACGTGATATCGAGACTCGCGTAATGGTAAATGAACGTCAACGAGAAACCGTGGGTCATTCTTCCGTCGCGCCGTTGATTCTGCGCGGAACACCGACGCGTATCCGACATAGGTGAAAAGCGATCGGTCGAGACGGCTGAAATATTTCACGGTACATCTCTTTAGCTCCGACGATCAGTAAAATTCTCCTTTCGTCAGCATTGTTACGGAAAATCAGTGTGCATTTTTCACGAGTCGTCGCACAATAGGAAGGGGAACGCGCGCGCGGAGGCATCCGAGGCCGGGGCGGCTCCCATTGTCATTTTTCCATCCGCGTTTTTCTTTCGCGGGGAAACTCCATCCATTTGTTCGCGGGATCGAAGTTTGCGGGATGCTCCGTGGAGCCATTCCGGCTCCGAATGCTACAGGTACCCGTTCTGATAAATGGAAAGTCGAGCGGCCTGTACATACAACGCCATAAATCTAACCGTCGCAATACACGATTCTCGAATAAAGCCCTCTATAATTTTCGAGGCGTCTTATCCCGGCCGATGTCTGTCGATGCGAAACGATGAACGGAGCGCCCGGCATACTTTCTCCATTACTCTCCGCGGGCCGACTTAACCCCGTCCTGAGGCAGTCGGGAAATCTTGCGAAATCGCGGAAACGTGTCACGACGTCGAACAGCGAACCTACGTGTGGTACTGTGGTACACGCGATTTTCAATGGGGTCGCCGATCTAGCTGAACTGCTCACGGAATATTCTCTTTTTCTTGGAACGGCTGCCTTTACTTTCCGCGAGGTGATTTAACCCTTACATTGTCAACTAAAATGTCTGCATTTTTCCGAGTTTCAGTAATACAATTTTCCTGTACATTTTTTACTTTCGAAACAAAAATTAGTGTAAAAATGTTTAAAAAATGGAAATCCAAAGAAATTATGTTAAATTTTCACAGGAACGAAACAAAACTGTGTAGAACAAAGTTTCGACATGGGTACCCGGATGCCGGTATAAGGGTTAACACACTGCCGGAGAAAATTAGGGCAGAGTTGTGACGAAGATTTCGAATGAACAATTCGACTTTAATAAATGTAAATATTGTTTTTCTACTTCAATTCGAAATACAACATGTGTAAGAATTTCTTTTAACGTAGAAGCACTTCTTCTTGTATCGAATTATTACGGATAATGTAACTACTATAATAAGGTAAAGGATTAATAATAATTGAAGAACACTCAATTATTTTCTCACGTAATCTTTCTTACGCGATTTTTGAAGTTTTGTAATATTTTATATGGCTTTACAGATCTAAAAATTAAATTAAACGAACACACGTATAGTATATTTGCATTTAACTGTTCTGCATGGTAATGTGTAGGTACTAAATGAAAAAGCCATCTAAAATAGAGAACTTTTCCGTACAGCAGTATTTTTACATCTAATTTTTTGAAATAGATAAATAAAATATAAATAAAAAAGTTGCAATATGTTAAGAAAATATGTAAAATCGTTTCCTTATCCTCATGATTGTCTTGCGTGAAGCGTATTGCAATATGTGAAGTTAACTAAAAAAAATATTTCTCTGGTACTAGGTTTTCCTTTTATCGAAATATTGTAATGACGTTGAAGTACTTTAATTTAATAATTTTTAATGTTATGTATTAAATACATAGAATAAAATTTGTTTTTTAAAAAATATTTAGCTCAGAGGCCTGCTTATTGAACATCTGCCTTAGATTACGACTTGAATTATTTAATTTATTACTTACGAATATTATGCATATGTGACATTTAAAATTATATATGTATTTTAAATATAGAAAAGATAGGAAATATTTTGTAGCTCATTTTTACAATTATGCGTTTATGAATATCTAAAATGAAGAGAAGAATATTTAAACTTTTGAATATTTTCAATTTAAGGAACAGACTTTATTTTCTGTTCGCGTTTGAAACAATACAGCGATTTTGTCTTCATTGCTGAAGAAGCAAGACGTGAATCAAATTTATGATTGTCATCGCTGGTTTCATCCCCGCAACGGACCAAGCTATTTGCCGCGTAAATATTTGAAGAAAGCTACGTTTTCCGGATGAAATTCTGCTAAAGCCCGTGTCGCAGACACGGAACAGCTTTTCTTTTTGGACGAGAGCACACGAAATTCTGGGCGGAATGGATTGGAGTCGTCGAAGCGTGCTTTCGAACAGAACACGAGGATCATGTCGAGGATCAAACCGCAAACTCGCCTTGATCCGTCGACGCTTTTTTGCTCGTTGTAAAATTCTCCGTCTGCGTCACGAGACTTCTGACATCGTTACGATAAGACGTCGCCGTTAAGAAGGTAAAAAATGGAAATCGCAGAAAATTTTCTTGAGAAGCTCCTTGATATAGTACAATTTCAAGTTTTGTCTATCCACGAATGAAGTAAACGAAGGCACAAAGGTTTTAAAGAATGTTTTAACATGTTTGCAACTGTGATTGAAAATATCAGAAGAGAATAAATATTCTTCGCTATTTATAAACTGTAGAATATTGTAATAATAAATAACGGTGTAGGTATAATGGAAATATTATAAAACTTGTAAAATAATATCACGAAACATTGATATCTTCTATTTTTCTGCATAAAAGAGATGATAATAGAAGTGACCGAAAATTTTCATCCCTCTCTGGATATAATGAAACACTTTCACTAGCTACTGTTTCGTTCTCACAGTTCGTGTCTTGCGATAAACAAAAACAATTACTGCGACATTAATATTTTGATTAATTGAACACTGCCATTTCGTATTATGAATTGTCACATTTCTTATTTTGCAAGTGAACAAAACTAACTTCTCCGACATTTTAATATATTACAAAATATTAATATTTTACTTAATTAAAAATAACTGCTCTATACTGTTCTTTCCGCTACCGACTTTTACATCGAATATACAATATTGTTCAACATATTTTAATAAAACATCTGCTAATACGTAATTTCATATAAACAACATAAAATACAAATAAAATAGAATTCATTCAAATCTCATTTATTTATTCGGCGATCTTTTCTTCGCTAAACGTAACACAATCGCTACGAAACCCGAAATTTTTCAAAAGAACTAGAAGACACCATAAAATGCAATAGTACAAAATGGCACCAATATAATTTAATAAATGTATAGCAAAATTTAAATGTGTTGCCATTCAATTCTCCTTAAAAATCGGCACGAACTTTCCGGACAACCCAATATATTACCGCGCGACTAAAGAAGAATGTTTAGCGATGAGCGTCAAATTACCAACAAGCCATGGCTGAAAGATTCGCGGCTGAAAGGGGAAAGTTAATAGCGGGAAGGTTAGTTCAATTATCAAAATGAATTCTTAACGGCCGGTCGATCGAGAAACCTGATCGGATCGGAACGGCGTGGAAACGTCCATAAACGGCCAGTCGTTTTTTCACGGGACGAAATCGACACGAGAAATTCTGTCGGGCGCGTCGTGATTCCAGAAAACACTCCGGCCGCGCCCACGCGTTACAAGCACCGCCAGTTCGAAAACGGATCTTCCGCCCCGGGCGTTTTACGGATAATTAACTGACATTAACGTCCCGGCCCGGACAGTCTACGCTGCTCGTATATCTCTCTCGCGGTGGCCGCGCGCATATTTTTGAGCCCGATAAGAATCACTTTTCCACCATCGTTGCCGTCTATTTTTCACTCTTTTGTTTCCCTTGCCCTGCTCCCGCACCCACCGGGTTTCGATGACGCGGCAGATACACCAATCTCACGGTTGCATCTTGTTGCAGAGATCTCGAAACCGTACCATCGCGTCGTCAGCTTTTCTCGAGCCATCCGTGTAATTAAGGTCAACGCGACGATCCATTGGTAACCACTTCGTTTTATCGGGGCCGTGTTTTTCTAACGGTTCTCGAATGGGCGATCTCTGAGCCACAATGATCGAAATGGTTTTTTCAAATATTTATAATAGTTTGGCGTGACAATAATGATTACAGCATCTAATGGTAGCCGGTAGTTAACCTGTAGTAACTTGATAAGGACATGAATTAATTTTACTCTCTGCACATTGTATAAATTGCATTGCTTCAAGGTTACATTTACATTTAAGCGAAGTTAATCTTACTTTAATTTTTATACTATTTTATAGGAAAGATACGAACAAAAGTATTAAGAAATTGTTGTATGCACAAGCTTGAACCGTACTCTTGGCTCCAATTCAAAAGAATACATTGAGTAGTAATGAACAAGAAACCTTAAGTAGTCGCTAAACTGTAGATGACCGATAAGAAAGTTGCTTTTAAAGCAGCGTGTATTTAACTTATGTAAACTAAATTTTATATACAATTATAACTAAAGTGGAGACAACTAC